TCGCAGCACTCCGGCTGCTGTCTCTATCGCACATTAGGTCATGTCTGAATGGACTTTTAGAAGCGGGAGCTGACAGTGATGGCTGTCTGAGATGTTATCTGGCACAAAATGAGCTGGGCAAAAGGTACTATCCAAAGCAAAATCTATAAATTTCAGCATTGATTTTTCTTTACATCCTCATCGTTTATTGTATCGAGGCTGACAAACACGCGCACCGTCAATTATTCGATACACATGAGAAAAAGTCATGGAAGCATTACAAACTCTGTAACTTACAGCTTATCGTTGTAAAGCCAGACAGAGAAAATCATTCAAAGACACGTCCAGATATATAAAAGCATTTACTAACTAAAATCACTAGCATTTCTTGTTTTTGAACAAAAAACAACAGTTAAACCATTTTCTATACCATAGAAAAAACTGCCACAACTTTAAGGACATGAAAAGTTTTATTTTTATTGAAAGATAAATGGCTAGAACATGACAACGAGGTTTATTTTTATATTGAATGAAAACTTCTTGAGGTGGTAGGAAAAATCATTTGCATATTTATTTAACTGATGATTAAACTTGAAGACAATATCCACAAGACCACAGCAATTACATTTTATCTTTGATCCTCAAGCCATTTCTGGTATTTTCATAAGAATAATATATTTTTATAATCCAGTGCTAATCGACATAGAATTTATTACAGTATAGAATACTATCAAATATTTTCAGCCTCATTCTATGAAAAGAAGCCAAATCAGATCACAAAAGTAAGTTTTTTCAAACACTCAACTGATATTGTGAAGTGAGTTTTCAGTCCATGTGACATCAGTGGTTCAACCGTAATGTTATGAAGCTAAGAGAATACTTTTTGTGTGCAAAGAAAACAAAAATAACGACTTCATTCAACGATTTCTGTATGCGTGTGATGCTGCTGACACAGGAGCTGGCGTTCTGACGTACAACCTGGAAGCGTTGCACCTTGGAATGCATTTGCATGTGTTGTGGTACTAGGCATGGGCCGGTATGAGATTTTTGACGGTATGATAACCTTAAGCAAAAATTACGAGATTCCAACTTGTAAAAAGCATTCACGTCCTCGTAGAACTCATAATTACAACTTGTGAACTGGGAGTATTCTGAGTGCTACGACTTGTACCACGTGACCGCTGTACCACTTGACCACTGCAGGCTCTGTTTAGGCGTCGATAGTGTTGCCATAGAAAAGCATAATTCCGAGGACATGAACAGCTCCGAGTAGAACGTCACATGCTGTCATCTCGAAATTACGGTAATTATAATATGGCGTGAACGCAGCATTATACTACATGCCTGAACGAAACAAACAGCAGAAGCTCTGAATGAGATGCAGATTCACTTTCTGACAGCAGGAGGCGCTCATGGAACACCAGATACAGCGTTTCCTTGGTTACCGCTGTAAACAAAGCAGCACTGCGCTGAAACACTGCTTTAATATGAACTATACAGAGAAGAGATAAAAATAAAATACCACGTAAACTTTTCTCCATTTACAGACTTCATATTTTCACATAAATGACATTTTGGAAAATGATTGCATTTGTTTGTACAAGTCCAGATCAGAGACGAGTTGCAATACGACAAAAAACGTCCAGTTGCCGATCGCGTAAGTTCCAGGGGAAGCTCCTTAAGTTCGCCCATCCTACACACACGTAACTGACTGCTCGCTCGCACCAACAGGAGGAGGAGGGTCGTGAAAGTATTAGTGGTTTTGAAACCGTGAAATTTTCAAATCGCGGTATACCTTGAAACCGGTTATCGGCCCATGCCTATGTGGTACTAAGAGTGAGTAATTCATGGCAGAATCTTCATTTTTGGGTGAACTATCCCTTTAAGAAGGCAGCCGAGTGACTTGACATGACCCACCTTGTCCCACTGCGAGACCCACACTTTGAAAACCCCTGTTTCATAAACCCCTGTTCTCAAAAGATTAGCACAAAAGCATTTGTTTTTAAACGTTTTTAAAACATTTAAAAGTGTCCAGTTTTTTTAATTTTCAGAGAACTTTAAGAAATACATTTCCAATAACTTAATTAGAGCATTAGCATACGTTCTTCTGAGGTTCAGACTAAAGTTGCATTGCAAAACATCAGACCTGTATCTGATTTATGACCACATATCTTAGCAGCCCAAATAAGATTCGAAAAGATCATATTCCATGTGGTTTGTGATGCTCACATTGTTATGGAAAATCGGACATATTTTGCATATACGGATTTGCCTTTTGCCTGCAGTCTGAATGTAGCCCTAGCCTAAGTCTTCTGAAGCCAACTGATATTTACTGAAAATCTTACCTGACAGCCAACATTCACTTAGGAGCTTAGGAGATAAACAAAATCTCCTTCTAAAAAAAATCATACAGCTTGTGAAAGAATTTTCTTTTTTGCCAAACTATCTCTTTAAACTAGTTAAGAAGCTAGGTGGGAACACCAGTACACATCCCAAGTTGGGGAAGAGTATCCAAACACCACATATCTGTTTCACTGCCAAAGTGATGCTATTTTGGCCTGACACTTTCATTGCGCAAACCAGACAGTGACATTCGTACTGGAGGGGCAGCAGTGTTAAATATCATCTCCTGCAGTGCAGTCAGCATCACGTCAACGTGCAGGGAAAGAAAAAATGTTAATGCCGCCCGCGCTATTTACACAACCTTCGGCAGAGCCACTTCGCATCGGAGCGGTAAAAACAGAAACCACACGTTTTAATTAATCGTCAACTAAACGAGACAGCAATAAACAGGGTTTGCTGCGGAGGTGCATTCGTAGGTGCAGGAGGTGAGGAGACGAGGGAGAAGTGGAGGAGGAGAGCAGCGCCGGTTAATTACCCAACCATACCCGGGTAAGTTGGGAGCGCTTTGTTCGGCGTTTGAATGACAAAGAAGATGACAGAGGCAGAGGCTCTGGAGAGGCGGCGATCGGCATTGGCTGCTTAATAATTGATCTACGAAAGCAGGAGCTTGTTTTGTGGAGATGAGAGCACACCGCCTCATCTGATCCCCAAGCCGCTGGAATCAGAGGGATTGTTTTTGTAATATGCCACCGAATAAGCAGATCAATGCTCTTTTAGCGAGCACAAACATCTCACGACCGAGCCTTACCACAGTGAATTAAAAGCTTCACACTTGTACACACAACACATGGGAAACCACACGTGTTCCCCTTTGCTAAATCAGCTGGAACTAAATTTACATTTTGCACTGCTCAATATGGCGCCAGTTAGATTAGACAACATTTTCATCATTATTGAAAGCCCAGACCTACATTAAATGGGTTCTTTTTTTTGCTCCGTCTCGCTTTTTCTCTTTCAGTTCGCCTTCTAAACCATAATGAAGTCAGTTTAAACAGCTATATTCATTTCCTTAATGAGGGAAAGGTCCTTTAATGCTTTTCTCCAGTGAGGCAGAGGCTGTGTGGGCGCTAATAAACACAACTCACAAAAACAACATCTCTTAAGCGAGTATCTGAGGCCTTCGCTAATTTTTTGTTAGCATTTAATTATACTTCAGCATTATGACTGACATTATTAGCGCTCTCTCTGGGAGCATGTAATTGAAAGTAATTTTACATTAATGCTAAGTCTGAAGTGCTCTCGTGAATAAAAAAACATCCAATGCGATGTTTTGGACGTTAATGTCATTGGTGATACAACATGGTGTGTGTATCCACTTTAAAGAGCCAAAGACTGTTTAAAATGTTGCAATACCTTTAGAAGATATTTTGAAGAATGTTGGTAACCAAACAGATTAGATTCCCATTGACTTCCACTGTATGGTCAAAAAATACAACGTAAGTCAATGGGGACCAAAACAACATCGGATCCCATTTTCTTTCTATGTATGGAAAGGGAAGGAAAGGGACAAAAAAGATACAGATCATGTAATTTGTAAGGTTGTAATAATGTATGGAAAAAGTTTTTTTTTTTTTTTTTTTTAACATATATGCATGGCATGCATTTTTAAAATTATCTTCTTTTGTTTTCCACAGAAGAATGAAAGTCGTATAGGCTAAATTTGAACTGACATGTCAGAAATGTTTATTTTTGAGTGAACTATCCCTTTAAAATACTTTCTCAGTTCCATTTTACTGTGAAGAGACAATTACGAGGTCGAAAAGTCACCAAAAAAAAAAATGGCTTAAAAATTAACATGAATTTCAGAATGTCTTACTCTTTGACAAGATGCATAAACTCCACAACTTTGTGTGAAACTTGATGGTCATGTGGATCAAGCATGTTTTTAAAATGATCCAAAAAACATCTTGTGATTCAACAAAAGCATGAAACATCTAACCGTCTGCACAAAGAGTCACATAATCAATGCCACTAATTTACATTCAATTGACCTAATGTCAAATAAAATCTGAAAAACTTACTTAAATCCAGAAACCTACAAAAAAAAAAAAGAGTTTGGTATTTATTTCAAGGTTTAATTTTTCTTTTTTATTCTAGATTTTCATTGTGTCCTAAAATCTGTACAAAATCCAATGATCACGGTCACAAATTTTCTTAATCAATTAACCTAATGTAAAAACTAAAACCTTCCTATATTTTAATGTGGCCTCAGACATTTGAACTCCACTGTACAAGTAAGCCAATTGTAGGCTGATTTACCTGAAAAGTGAACTGAGTAGGTATCTTTATATAGAGAGTGAGCTCTATGAGTCAGACACAATCTGTTTCAACGCAGCTTCCTCCACAGTGTTACAACACCAGAAACCGTACATTTTTTCTACTAGCCTTTGTTTACAACATCAACATAAAACAAGCAGCACTCGCATGCTCATTCTCCTCTTCCAGTGTGTTAATTCTGGGCGTTACAGTCCGCCTTAAGGCAGCAAATCTGGTGTGAAACCCCATCACTTTAATTAACAGTGATTACAAATTACACCGTTCAGTGTAAGAACTAACGAGAGATACAGGCCATAGATAGTGATGTGCTTTACAGCTTGAAAGCGGCAGACATTACTCACCTATTCTGAATGAGAGCGGGCCACTGGTGGCGTTTCTCACCCACATGGCTAAGAAGAGCAGACGCGCCCAGGCTGCGAGCATCTTCTTTGACTCCTCATGGGTCCAGCCCTGGGGGTCCCCCTTCACACAGCCACCTGCCACACCAAACACAACAGCAACACTTCAGAAGAATAGAAAGCATGCTTTTCAATCAAAGGAGTTACATGTGCATATGCTACAATAGCATAAAAAAATCAAGTTTATTTCACTGTGGTAAGCGTTGCTAAACTTATTTTGGTCCGTAAGAACACTGTAATTGGGTATTCTTTTCTAACTTAGAAAATAAACTTTCTTAAAACATTTTTTCTTACACTTTGTCAACAAAAATGTCCAAAAGTGTCTAAGAATACATTACAGGAGAACTCTGTCATAATTATTCCCACCATTTCTATTTCAACCATATATCTCAAATGATTTATTGTGGTTTATAGCAGTCTGTGGTTGAAATGACAGCTCTGGAAAATACATTTTTGGATTAAATAATGTTTCCATTTCCATTTTTATATATTTAATCATAGACAATACACATAAATAATACATCCAAGATAATACAATTATCGATTTTTCTTTTATTCCAAAAATCATTAGGATATTACGTAAAGATCATGTTCCATGAAGATATTTTGTAAATTTCCTACTGTAAATATATTAAAACCTAATTTTTGATTAGTAAGTACTTCATTTTTAGTGCTTCATTTTGACAACTTTAAAGGCAATTTTCTCAATATTTTGATTTTTTTTGCACCCTCAGATTCCCGATAGTTGTATCTTGGCCAAATATTGTCCTATCCTAACAAACCATACATCAATGGAAAGCTTATTTATTCAGCGTTCAGATGATGTATAAATCTCAATTTTGAAGAATTGACCCTTATGACTGGTTTTGTGGTCCAGGGTCAAAAATAAAGTAAAATAAAATAAAAAATAACCTCTAATTGAGGTTAATGTCATAGTTAGCATTTACACATCGTAAATACGCACAATTAAATAACATTTTCACACTTTTTGCATAAATTAATCCACAAATGAAAGACTGACAAAATTTTGATTATTTCATTCTTTGTTTAGATTATCACAGTTTTACCTGACAATTGTAACAACTGGTATTTCCATATAGGAAGTCAGAGTCTGGGACAATGGTGAAACAGTAAAATCTATACAAAAAAGCATTCCAGAGAGAGAGAAAAAAAGCAAAAATAAACAAAGCATAGAGATGTGTTTACAAAATGGTTATAATGTGACCACTACATAACAAAAATGTGAAATTTATTAGTTTAAAAAAAAAAAAATCAACCCCTCGGACATAAAAGTCTTCGAAGTTGAAGAAACACTTTATCATAACAAACTCTTCTGGAAATGATAATGATTTTCTTCACCTAAATAGATGTTCCTAGTAAATTACCCAAAAAATGACTAAACGAGAACCATATAATTGCCTTTGCTGGCAATTCCAAATGTTTCATGAAATAAATTCAGCTTCTGTAAAACAATTTCATATCTCATGCTGCTGTACTGTTTGTTAAACTCACAGCTGCTTATTACTACAGTAGAGACAGACAACGTAACAAGAGTATCTCCGCGTCTAATTGCAGTTATGATTCATGTTGCTACAAACATATGTTTCATATCAGCTGCATTATCCACATATAATTAAAAAGAACAATCAGATGAGCAACTTGAATCAGACAATACTGATACTTATCCCATTCACAAAAGCAGTATAGATTTTTTTTATTTATACAAGTTTAACATCTATTCAAGAGAGTTATGAAAAGAATACATTGGGATGTAAAATGCTTTGCTTACTTTAGAAGAAAAACATAAATCACATATATTTAGTTTTAGGGATGCACCGATACCGATAGATAGAGAGCACTGAGTGGATTGAGCTCGCAGCTGCACAGATGCGCGAGCTTGTCGAGTGAATATCTCACAGACATCACTGGAAAGTCTGTAGTTCGGTCAGATATGTCAAAAGCAAGTAAGTAAAACAATGCACAAGTTACTAAAGTTATTTGATGGTAAGGAGAGAGAGAGAGAGAGCGAGAGAGAGCGAGAGAGAGAGAGAGTCCGAGAGCGCGCACTTCTGTTGCATGTTCTTGATTGCTGTTCGCTCCATTAGCGCATGCATTTGGATTAAAACTAAATCGTAAATATAAAACAAACAAAAATTATAGGGGCATTCACTATAAACAGCATTTATTTTAAACGTCAAGCATACACAACTTTATTTAAAGCAGAAGTGAAACTAGCAGACTGGGTGAAATGCGCTAGGCTGTAAGTTTCTCTCTCATTCTGCACCAATACAAAGTGTGCGCGCTGCGTATGTCCATGTACACTGCGCATGATGCAAATTACATCACCAAAATAGTACGCGTGCACTCGTATAATGTATAACGAGTGGTGCCCTGCATTATTTTAGGAAAACATTTTGTGATTACAGTATATTGAGCTGCTGCAATGGAGCCATTAAAATGAACAGTGAAAGTAACAAAAGCTTATACAATACATTTTAACAGGTATAATTAAGTGTGGAAATAACTGAAGGTAATATCTGTTTGCTAAATGAAGCCAACTAACATGATTCATATTATTATTATTATTATTATTATTATTATCAGGGGCGCCACTGCGGTTTCTGGGCCCCCTGGACAGCATATTCACTCGGGCCCCCGCTATCGGGGGGTGGGGCGTCACCCTCAGTAGAATCACAATTGTGTTCTGGGGGGGATCCTTTGGACCCCTCGTTAGAAATCGCGTTCCTCTCGGTAAATCGCGTTACAGGGGGTCCCCCACGCGATCGCATTCCCCTCGGTAGAAATCGTGTTTCTCCCTCAGGGGGCCCCCCTCCATCGTCGGGCCCTTAGAATCGTCCTAACCTTCCCCCCCTTATGGCATCCCTGCCCCCGAGACAGATCCCCTGCGAAGATCTTGAAGACCATTGGCACAAGACCACAGGAACCAGATAAGTCCTCGGCACAATCTGACCTGTCGTTCGTTTCGTAAATGAGGCCCATTAAGTCCAAACATGATGGAGAAAGACTGC